ATATATATATATATATATATATATACACATTATGTCTTTATCATTTCATTTTTACCTACATTTATTTGTTTATTGTATTTTTGAGAGCAATGGATTGTATTCTTATTTATTTATTGAGTTTCTATTTTTTTCTGTATTTATTTTTAAATATGGCAGAGCTAGTCCTCCATACACTAGAACTCCACTTTAAAACTCACTCTCTTTGAACCCAGAAGGCTGGTGGACACTTTGAAGCACAGTTAGGATTTCCCTGGCAGTCTGCTCCAAATTCTGGACCACCTTACGGATATCCTGTCAGGAAAAAAACAGGTTTATAAGGAAATACATAACACTGATAACTATGAAAAGATTAAAACAAAATTATATATGTGTGTAAGTGTAACACAAAAAATAAATATCGCCACTCAATAAGGTGTATTTCAGTTAAAAATTTCAGAAGAAATAATATTTTTTAAAGGAATAAAGGGTTTCATCTCGGGTTAGCTCACTAGCTAACGGTATGGGGCGCTAATGTTGTTAGCCTCAAGGCGCGAGCTTCGCGGTCATACCTCTCTGACGTCCTGGTCGGCGCTCAAAAAGCCCTGGATGTAGCTGAACATCTCAGTCACAGACATTTCTGACATCTCGGGGATATTTCCAGAACAAAACCGACGCTGAAAAATTAGCTGCTAGCAGGTAAGAAACCCCCCCAAAAAATCAACGTGCAGATAAACGGTAAGGTCCCCTTCAGCCAGCGCGTGGATATGACGTCTCCACCTACGTCATCCGGCAAAAATACATAAAACAATAAAACATACAGGCCAAAAATCTTTATATTTGTTTGTTAGGAAAATATTTCAATATAATAATAATAATAATAATAATAATAATAATAATAATAATAATAATAATAATAATAATAATAATAATAATAAAATAAATAAAGCACAAAGGCCACAAAAAAAAAATTTGAACTATATAAGTTGGCTCTTTGTGTTTGTACACCCAAAAAATGATTTATTTTTTCTCTTAACCCTAATATTATTGGTAGAAAAATTCCATATGCCCAGCTGTAAAGTTTTTAAGTTGAAAGTTAAAACTCAGATCGAACGTCTTTTTTACCTAATTGTCTTCATATACGTGTGCCTTGATGTACTGTACCAATGTAAAAGCCTTAAAGGCTCTATCACTCTGAACTGAATTTATGTTTTCCTAGTTGTTGTTTCCCATCCTTTTCTGTTTGCATTCTGTTTGCCTTTGCCTGCGATAAGCCCAGGGACAGATTCAGGAAATTTGAGGCCCTTGGCAAAAACAGGCAAGGGGCCCTCTGAATTGAGAAGACAAGACATAAAACAGACCCATTATACAGACGGGTATAGAATTTTTTTTATAGAATAGACATACATTATTTGTTCTATGTTTTGTCCCTCTCTTCTTGTCCCTTTTCTTGTTGTTTTCCTCTCTGTTTTCTATTCAGCTGACTTTTCATGCAGTCTCTAAAGGAATGAAAGATTTTTTGCAAGCATTGAGCTCACTTAGCCCATTGTGTCTTCCTGTGTTTCCAAAATAGCAACGGAAAATGTACATAACACTGTCCTTCTTTTCTGCTCTTCACACTGTTTGTTTTTAAAAGGTTTGCTGCTGTCTGTTTGGACCTTTCTGACTATGTACAGCAAATGGACTGATCCAAAGTGGTGGAC